CGGCCGCGCCCCGGAGCTGCGCCCCGGCTTCCACGCGGCGTGGCGCGTGCAGGGAGCGGCCGAGCCCGGGACGTCACTGCCATTTCCGGGAACTTGGCAGCTTCGGTGCGGAGACCCGGGGCCTAGCTCCACTGAGAACTTATTTAAATGTGGGGGGGGCGCGGCTCTGGCACTGGCACTCGGAGCACTTGTTACCCCCAAGATCTTGGAGGTGTGGGGTGCTCTTTGTTTGTTTTGAATTACTTTATCTTTCGATTTGTTCTTTGGAAGGTGAGCCCGGTTTGGACTTCAGGCTGACGAGGAAACGCCCCCAGGGGGTTCTCGGGGATCACCCTTACCCCCCCCACATACACACACCCTCCCCAGTGCACCCTAACCCTGAACCTGTCACCCCAGGACTCCACCGCCAGGCCGGGGAGCTGTCTGTGGTGCTGGGCCACCCCGGGGAGGGATCGAAAAGAATCCAAAGGAAAGAAAGTGCGGGCACGCCTTGCAGCCGCTGGCCCGCCCCTCCCCGTAACATTCAGAGCGACCAATCCACCCAGAATCTCATCGCCCCAAGGCCTGTAGGTCCCACATGAGGGCCAGTGACGCCGACCCCATCCCGAGACCAGGAAAAAACCTGAAAACCACCCCACCGCTCTAGACCACACAGCCAGGGCACCAGGCTGACCAGCTTTCCCACACCAGTTTGACCCTGCCCCTGATAAAGGCCCACTGGTGGTATCTTAAAAAAAAATCAGTTTCTTTCCAAGTACGTTGATTTCCATCCCTGCCTAGCTTTAAACAACAACAACAAAACCCAAGCAGGTCCCTTCCAACGTATTTTGTAACCACGTGCTTTAACAAGAACTCAAGTTTTCCCACCCCCTAGGGAGAGCTTTTCCAAATATTTTTAGAAAGATAAAGATATAACAAAAACAAACCACTCACGAGCTGCCTGTTTCTAGAGGGGCGGTGGGTTTGGCACTCTGGGCAAGGGCCGCTTAGGCAGCTGGCCAGAGAGGAGGAAGATCAGGTTTGAAGGTAAGTGGGTCTACCTTGCAACAGAGGAGGTTGGCTGTGTTGTTTCCCTGGGTGCTGGCTTTCATTTTCGAGGGTGGAGTGACTATAAATGGATAGAGCAGTTGTAGGTAGATTTGCTTGAGGCTCCAAGCCAAATAGCAATGTTACTTTACAATTCATTGAAAAATCACTAGCGGGATTACAAAGGCTGGTGCCTAGCTGAACAGTTTAACTTCTTCCTTAACACACAACTACAGACGTGTGCTAGGTTCGCTGGGGTTCCTGAGCTGATGATCTTGGGGGGGAGCAATGGTAGGGGCCTTTGTGGGTTTTAAAGCATTTCTCTGAAACAAGTTCGTTTTTTTCCACATTCTTGGAGAAAGCCAAGAGTGTCACAGAACCCGCTCTGTCTTGCCAGACATCTACCTAACCAAAGGAGCAATCCAAATTGAGTTCAGCCATAAAGTGCTGAAAGCAAGAAAGGAGTAGAGCTCCCGGTGACAGTCATATTGGGGCTGTGACTAACCCCAGAATCCCCATGAGAAAAGGCATGATCGCTTGATCCTGGCTTCTCAGAAGACCCAGAGTTACCTACCTTGCCTATTACACCACAGCAACCCCCCCCAAAAAAAAACACTCATAAAAATATTTGGGCAGGCACAGGTATTCAAAAGGACCCCTTGCAAGGAAATGAACCAGTTTGCTTTTGACTTTTAAGCAGTAGTTTGGGACTCTTAAATACTAGAGCATCTGGTCAAGTACACAGCAATGCTGAAGTGAGTATGGGGGACCCCCGTACCCAGCTTTCTTTCTGGGACAACCCTCCCTGAGGACAAATCCCAGCATTCAATTTGCTAATGTGTAAAGCAACTACAACTAACCAAAACCCAAACCAATTTAGACAAAAGAGATTGCTATGATTTCAGGGGAGAGGAGGGGATGTAAAAAAACATGACTGCAAAGAAAAGGAACTAGGAAAAGTATGAATAATTACTATGAGCTGTGGAGACCTAGTTGTCTGTAGATCTGATACATCTCCCTACATCTACCACCAAAAGAGTGCAGCTTTGAGAATGAAGCAAAGACCTCCTCCCCCCCCCCACACACACACACGGTAATTTCCCAGGCCCTGGCAGCAAATAGGTGCTGTTGCCTTGATTGGATTTGTAAGTTTGCTCAAGGATTTTCTTTACCTGGACCAAAGGTAGTATTCTGGGTGGATTCATTAGTGTGTGTGGACTCTATATACTTTTCCACATTCCCTCTTTTGCCCAGAGCTGATCAGGCTCACTCCACCCAGGGTAGATAGAGGTAATAACTATAGCAAATTCAAGTTGTGCAAAGTGCCTTTTTAGGAAAATCATTGGAAACTGTTGGAACTTGATTTCTTTAAAAACCCAACTTTAGTGAAGATGAAACCAGGAGAATCTGCAGAATGCCCAGGTTTTGGGCATTCCCCAACCAGATCCAATGGTACCCGGTTTCTAGTCCAGCCCAGCTGTCTGAATTTGTCCCAACTCATCAGGCCAAAAACAAAACTGAACAAAACAAAAGATCAGGGCCAGTGCAGACCCTTTTGTTAGAATCAAAGAAGATGAAGACTATTTTTTTAAGCAAATTGATGAGCTGGAGAGAAATCTGCAAACCACTCCCTAATTAGCTAGGATCTGACCAAGGCGCCTGAGGCGATTTGCTCCTGGATTCCTACCTCTTTTCTTTCTAGCTTCCTTCCCACTTCTGAGCTTACATTCCCACAAACACTCACACCTGACCGTGTTTAACTCCACTCAGGTTCAAGCCTGTGGGAAAGTGGGAGGAGAGGTCTGGATGTGTTTCGGCTGAACCGAGGACAAGAGTGAGGATTGTCAGAGAGGGGCAAGACTTTGGAGAATCTCCTAGGATAATGACCTAGGTGCTGAAGAGAATAGCAGCTCTGTAATTGTAAGGTGACTTGGTTTTCTTTCTGGTCCCAGTCACCTTGACAGGGAAGCCAAGCCCTGGTGGGGGTAACTTTGAGCATTTAGAGATTGGGGGGGGGACAGGCAAAGGGTCCACTCTCTGGGGATGGTCTCTCTTTGGAGGGGGTGTCTTTCCACAGGCCAGATAAAAACCCTGGCACTCCGGGTACCAGAGTTTGCCTTTCCATTCCCACTCCAGACATCCTAGCGCAGGGAAGTCGTTAGGATGCGGCTCAGCGGCGTGGGCCTGGGGACTGAGAAGGCCAGGATCAAAGCTGAGACAAGGCTTGGTGAGCAGGCCTCTGTGTGTCCCCAGGGGCGTCCTAATTGCTCGCCCAGGCCGCCGTCCCCGCTCCCAGTCTGTCTGGCCCTGCGGGCGCCCAAGCCGCAGGCTGCCCAACAGCTGCCAGGCCCCAGGAGCACTAGGGACCCCCGCCATCTTGAGAAGACCCCTAGGAGAAGGGGAAGGGGGGTGTAGACTGAGATCCACGCCCCAGAGCTAAGCTGGAGCCTCTAGGCAGGCGGGGACAGTGAGGGAGAAGCCGCTGCTGCCCGCTAGCCATCGCCCAGAGTCGGCCAGCACCGAAGTTCTCCTAGGCCTCCCGGGCCATCCTGAAAACATCCGCCTAAAAAGAAAGATTATCAGCCTGAAAGAGGCCCGCGTGATAAATAGACCTGTTTTTACACCAGCCAGCCCAGCGTCTTCACAGATTTGACAAATCTCTAATATTCTAGAAGGGCTGTTTTTTTTTCCTTTCCTTAAACCAGTCGCACCTTTCATGACTACACATTCTGCTTTTTAGTAAAATTAGCTCCCTGGGATTTCATCGCTTGTTAAAAAAAGATAAACTTTATTTTCTTTTGTCCTTTTCAATCACAAAAAAATCTATATTTTTTTCGTCTAAGCATTTATTTTGTACTGAATCCAAAAGGAAAAAAAAGACATGAAAAGAAAAAAATCATGTTTTTACTAACGTATATAAGTGACTCTTTTTTTGGACAACATATAATAAATATGATATATCACTTATCACTCAGTCTTTGCAAATGTACTTTTTTTTCATATTATGGAGCATGCCACTTTTCCAAAATTAAAAAAAAAAAAAGCTCATGAGAAATCAGTGCAAAGTCCTCAAATCACCCTATTTTTTTCTCGGGGCAGACCGAAGTCCACAACACCCTATGCCGGAGGGTGCTGCGGAGTCCACCACAATGCGCTCTGCCCCTGGGGTTCCTCTCCTGGCCCTTCTTCCCTCCCCCCCTTAGCCCTCCCCCCTCCCCCCTCCTGCTTGTCCCTAAAGTCGGTTTTGTTCTGTTAAAGAATCTGCGGGTTTTTGATTGTGTGTGTGTGTGTGTGTGTGTGTTTCACTTACTGGTTGTACTTTTGAGTCACAACGGCTGTGGGGGAGCTTTCCAGCCCTGCCTGGGGAGGGGGGAGGGGGATGGAGAAGAGAGGGCGCTGGCTCCTCTTTTGGGGGTGACCTTCCAGGGCTCACGGGTGGTGGGGTGAGCGTTTTCTCCTCTCTGAACTCCGAGGCCTTGGTGGTGCACGCGCGGGGAGGGGGGAGGAGGGAAGAAAGAGAAAGAGAGAGAAATCGGGATGGGGTGATGTGGTGTTGTGGGGGGCCGTTCACCCCCTGCTTCTTCACCGGGGGTGTGGGGTGCCCGGGATGGGGTTGGGCAGAGGGTTGAGGCCGGGCTGACCGCCGGGCCCCAACCCGTGGATGAGCACGCGGGGCACCAGCGGCCGCTGCAGCTGCGGGTGGGGCGCGGGCGGAGTCCGGTACACGCTGCTGTACACGGCGGCGGCCGCCGCGGCCGCCGCGGCGCTGTCCATGCTGCCCAGCAGGCTGGGGTGGTAGAAATAGGGCGAGGGGAACATCCGCTGCAGCGCCGAGTAGTTGCCGGCCTCGGCCAGCAGCTCCAGACCCACCGCCGTCTGCCGCTTCCACTTGGTCCTGCAAGAGAGCGCGCGCGCCACGCGCGGCTGTGGGCACCGTCCCGGCACAGTCCGGGGCCCTTTCTCCTCTCCCCTCCCCCATCCTTCTTCACCCCACTCAGCCTTCTGGCACCCTGGAATGCACACGGCACTCTCCCGACGACCCAAAGCCCAAAGCACTTTCCTAAAAAACACCCCGGGTCGATGGAACCCTACGAGCCAGCCGCGCGCGGGGCCTTCTCCGGGTCCCCGGCGCTACCTTTGCCCCCCCCCCCACGCTCAGCCCTCCTAGTCTGGCCACTTCCTGAAACTTTCCCAAGAAGACCCCCCTTTTTCCCCCAGTAGTGGTCTTTCTCCTCCTCTTCTTAATCTTCCCTTTCTGGGACCCTCCAGCTGGCCCAAAATACCAGCTCCCGCCGCTCCGGGCTCCTCTTCCCTTCCTTCCCTGTCACCAGGACTAAACAAAGAGTAGCAGAGACAACCGCCGCCCCCCCCCCGGCCCTGTACCCCAGCCTCTCTCACCACCACCACCCCCTCTCCCTCCGAGGGCTACGGTGATAACTCTTTTATCACTGGTCCTTAGAGCAGGGCAGGGGGTGGGGTCAAGGGGTGGGGGGACTTGGGGCCAAAGAGGGTAACACGATTTTAAAAAACCAAATTTCGTTTGAGAGAGGGCTATCCCAAGGGAACAAGAGCTCCTGATTATTCTGGGTTTCAAGATATTTTCTCCTCGGGGAGAAAGTCATAATTAAAACCTGTGATCTGTTCCTGCTTAAGTCTCCTCCCTCCCCCCCCCTACTGCACCCCCGCTAGGAAGGAGAGGGGAGCAGGCGGCTGCTCCTGCCGTCTTCCTGAAGGAAAGCTAGGGCTGGTGGGCCTTACCCAGCAACTCCAGCCAAATTAATAAACATGTCGCCCATTTTAAATTGCCTCCAAATGACACTAATGTTTTCCGACAGAATTAGGGTGGCTGAAACCGTATGTAATGAGACAGAAAATTATGGTAAAGATGACAACTGGATAGGCATTTCCAACTGCACTTATGGACGATTAGAACACGAACAAGAGAAAAGGAGGGGGAGAGAAAAGCTGAGACCAGGGAGAGCAGGACTAGGCGTGGAAAAGACAGCTTAACCTCGCCTTGGATCGCCTCGGATTGCCCAGCCCTGGCCCTACACTTCATGGCCCTGCCAGAAAGGCCGGCTGCTTGCTTAATTTCTAAACAAGAGGCGCGGGGGCAGGCTTGACATCAGAGGCAGCTAATGTCAGGACGCCACCACCCCCCCCTCGCCCCCCAGTCTGGATACTTGGCCAGCTGCCTGATTCTCCAGCCTGGGGCTGCCGACCCCAGTCTAACCCATCTGGGCTTTACTCATTTCTAAAGCCATGATGACCAAGGCTCAGACCCTTAGCTCTCCCAACAGCTTCAAATTTAAGCCTGGGCTGGTGGGATAGCTCTGTGAGGACCACGATCCTGGGCCTCATTGCTGGCTTACGCACATTTGGAACCGGCTGGGGCAAGTCCAGAGTACCACACACACACACACACACACACACACACACGCTGGGCCTGAGTGTCAGCTGCACAGATGTCTCAATTTGAGAAGATGTGACTTGATTGATTTGGGGACAAAATAGAGGGGGGGAGCAGGGGAGGAATTCCAACAGCTCAGGTTTCAGAGGGAAAGTAGCACCTGTTAAAACCCTCTGTCCTTCTCACCTTGGGGGTGTGGTTAACCCCAGCCCTCGCCTGGAAAGCACCCCCAAGTGTCCACTGTGGCACTCTTCGGTCCCTAGAGTCTTTAGGGGTCAAGGGAGAAGAAGATTGCTGGTAGTCATGACCCAAATAGCAGATGCCTCTGCTCCCCCCACACAGCCTTCCTTACCTGCGGTTCTGGTACCAGGTCTTCACTTGGGTGTCAGTGAGATTGAGTGCAGCTGCTAAGTCCATGCGGTCCTGGACGCTCAGGTACTTCTGCCGTTCAAAGCTACGCTCCAACTGATTGAGCTGGTGATCGGAGAAAGCTGTCCTGGCCTTTCGGGGCTTCTTGGCTCTCACCGGCGGACTCTCTCGGCTGCTACTGATCTCTCGGTCTCCTTCCTCCTTTGTTCCTAGGAGAGAAACCAAGTTGTATAACTTGACACAGAAACAGGTAGGGTGTCCTCCAGACACACATTTCTACCTTCCCAGGCCACCCACTCACCATGGGGACACTGCAGTGTGTCCCCTGCTCACACACACATCCTTGGGCCTCATGGAGGAAAAAGATTGTTTTCTGGTTGGGGAGTTGAGACCTTGTATTGTGCTCCAAAAAGGATTCAAAAAGGCTGTGTGATCTGATGGTTGGAAGTTGAAAGTTAAAAAAAAAAAAAGAATTTCAATAAAAGGCTCTTTGTCCTGGTTTGGGATGAGGCATTGTCTTTTCAGTATTTTCAGGAAGAACAGAATTTTTTTTATTTACTCCTTTTCAAAAGTCCTGCTAATTTTTTTTTCAGGCGGGGACATTTTTCTCATTTGACTTCCCCCTTACCATCTTCTTACAAGTTAGACATTGGTTTCTCAGAAACACTTGGGGAATGTTGGAATCAAGCTTTCTGCAGTCGCCTACACTGGGTCTTTGAAGGCTTCCCAGAGACTGTATACCACCAGGTAAAGGCTGTGGCAGGCGAGCTCAAAATCAGCCCGACCAGGTGACAGTGCGCAGATTTCCGGATTCTATTTGTCAACTTTGGTTTTTTACTGAAATGCCTGGAAATCGATATGTCAATCCCTCTCTGTTTGTACCCGTTTGTGCAGCACTCCTTGATCTTCCCTGCAGGAAGAACAATAATCTCTCTAATTGACCCACTGGGGAGGTTGGTGCACGGAAAAATCGCCAGCCTAGACCGTACATCTGTTTTGGGCACTATTATGCTAATGTTGCAATAGTAAAACAAGGAGCCAATACCCTACCTTCTAGATACTATGTATCTTTACCAAAGAATGAAGTAATAACAACAATTATAATAGTAATAATAAATAACCTATCAGTGAAGTATTAAAAAAATAAATAAACTCCCCTGCCGTAAAAAAAAAAACTCTTTTAGGAAGCAAAAGCCAGAACCTTTATGGAATTACCTGAGAAGAAAATGAAAAGGGAAGCGTAGAAGATTACTTCTGTGGTACCTTATAAAAATAGATAAATCCTGCCTCTTACATTTTTATTTCTATAAATGCTACCCCCTCCTTATTTTTAAGAAGGCAAAAAATTACCAAGATACTGGCATTTTATTGGGGGCTCTTTTGGCAAAAAGAGTGCTTTAAATAAAAAGAAAACTGATCATAATTTTTAAAAACTTAGTTCTCCATTCTAATCATTATTTTTTTTTTGGAAAGTTGCTTAATCAGCTTGGGGGGAAAGAAACATTTTTTTCCCTTCATTAAACGGAACAATTCCAGAGCCGGTGTTTGAAAACTACGGAGGGGGGCTTCATCTGCATAAAATAACGATCGGTTTGTTCACACCCCCAGGCACCGGGGCGCTAAGCAGATTCTTTTTCCCACCTCCCCTTCCATTTCCCACCCCGAGGAAAAAAAAAAATAAAAAACAACCAATTCAGTTTTCTTCTCCCCCACAGCCCCCTCTTCCCCGGCCCCAAATAAAAAGTATTTCCCATCAGATCTCCTAGCTGCCACCTTCAGCCTCTCAAGACATGGAAATTATGTAAAACAAAGAAAGGGGCCGGCTGGCGTGGAGGCGCCAACAATAAACAGAACTTGGGCTGCGGCGCCCAGGCCTCGGCCGGATTTGCACACTGGGCGACGGCGGAGGATCGGGTGGGAAGATCCCGGGATAAATAAATCCCCCTTCTCCGGAGACGGAGCGCCCTGGAGAAGGGAGCCGACAGCGGAGGGGGAGGAAGGGGGCGCCGGGCGGGCGGCGGGCGGGCCGGGCGGGGCGCGACTCACCGTGGCATTTGAGGTCGCCCTGGGCTTCCTCCCGCTTGTCCAGCTTGGTTTTGCCGTCGTCTTGCTCCAGCTTGGGCCTGAAGCTGTCGTGCGCCGCGTGGTTCTCGGGCTTCGGCGTGTGGTGCGGGGAGGGCACGCTGGTGCTGTAGGGCGCGCAGGCGGCCAGGGGTTTGCTGTCTCCCAAGATGTCCTTGATTAAAAAAGAAGAGGTGGAAGTCCTGGGGGCCGCGGGGGCCGAGCCCAGCTGTTGCCCGGCCGGCGGTGGCGGCGGCGGCGGCGGCGGCGGCGGCTGGTGTTGAGGCGAAGGCTGCAAACTTTGCGTCGGGGCCGAGGCTGCGGGCGGCGGCGGCGGCTGGCTGTGCGGGAGATGATGGTGGTGGTGGTGGTGCTGGGGCCCGTCTGGGACCATATGCGACTCCGGGGGCTCCAGGGTGACCGAGATGGGCGAGGAAGGCGCCGTCCCCACGGTGTCGATCTCCGAGCACGGGGACGGAGTGGCCTGACTCCTAAAATCCGTGGCGGTCCTGGCCTCTCCGAGCGGGCGGAAATCTCCGTTCATCACGCCCGGGCTGCCCGAACTGGCACTGGACAAGATCGTGTCTATTCCAAAACTCGACCCGCTGGTCCCTTCCATTGTTGTCACTTCGACATGAGGTCCAACGCCTCGCGCCGGTCGGCAGCCGCCCCGAGGAAGCGAAAGGAAGCGATCGATGATCGGAACACAAAATCAAGCAGGACCACCAGGTTGACGCTGCTTTCGGGGGGAAAAAAAGAAGGGAAAAAAAAAGCGGGGCGGGAACCGAGGCGAGGTGATCGGGAGGTGGCAATCGGTGGACACTTTGGACACAACTTTTGATTTTTTTTTCCTTTTTCTCCCCCTTATGCAAAACGTGAGGGGATCGAGAGAAAGAACGATCGGAGGAGAAAGTCACCCCCAAATAAACAAATAGAGGGTAGCCAGGCCGTGCGCTCCGCGTCCGGGCCACCGCGCACGTGGGGGCGGCGGTGGCGGCGCGGGGGTCCCCGGGCGC